TCAAGCCCTTTAAATATTGGAAAGAAACTCAAGTTCTGCATTCCCTGTGCACTCCTGTTTTTTTTCTTCTTTGTTTTTTAAGAGCCAGTTTGATGTAGGTCTTATAGCATTTCATGAGCAACTGGGGGTTTTGAGATCTGGTTTGACAGAGGCACCGAAGCCACATCGGTGGTACTGGGCCATTGGTCATCTCGCAGCCCTAGCTGACTTCCTTCTTTCCTTCTTTGTCATATTAAAAGAGGCCCTAGTTGTTATGAAAGTGAGGGATTAGAACAGTGAGGGGGTGTTCATCTGTGAAGTGCCATTCCACCTGAAGATGGAATTGGCACGAACAAAAATGCTAGTTTATCTCCACAGCAGATTCTCTGTCTTGGAATTTCTCCTCAGTCCTGTATGTGTGTGGACTGGTGATATCTTCATTCATTCCCTCACTAGTATCTCTCTCGGCGGGAGAGCAGATCCAGCTGCACATTGAGTTGAGTCAGTCATGACAATCTGATTTGGGTTTGGCTTCATTCTCGCTTCTTCCTTTCCTTATCTTCACCTTTCTTTCAAATGAAAAGCTACCTTCTGAGACTGGCTGCTGCAGTAGCATTGAAGTGTGTTGCAGTTTACTGTTGCAAAGATGTGTGATCAACGGAGGAGACATCTGATTTGACCACTTCAGTGTTCTGCTTAGTCTGCCATGATGGCTGCTGTCAGGACTGGGTTACTGGCTCCAAATGCATAAAAGTGGGAGGATCTTGGCCATTACCAGTAGAAGTTCTAAACTGCCAGCAAATCTTTTTCTTTTTTTACCTTGTAAATAGAAATGGAGGGTTTCTTTCTAGCCTTTAGCTGGAGGAATAGGAGAAGGTAGCCCTCTCTGCTGAGCAAATGAACAAGAGTTGATTGAGACCTTTCTTTGTCCTTTGCTCGCATGTTGGTCAGAAAGAGCAGGTGTGGATTGGTGCTTAGTTCTCAAAGAGCACTGGACTTGCAAATAATAAACCCTCCCAGGAGTGTAAAGTCCACATATCCTGACACATCTAGTACTCAACAGAACAGAATACAACAGCCAACCCCGACTTCCTTTTAATTGTGAAATCAGATGTTTGGCACGACAGGAAAGTTGTTTGTCTGGAAATGCCCCAATTTGCCTATTCTAAGACTGGTCTCAATGGTCAAACATTAATTGATTCTTCTCTCCACTGTTTCAATTTCAGAAAAGCTGAAAGGAGAAAAAGGTAAGTCTGAAATAGATCTACTGTGCTTTCTTGTTTAAATATTCACTAATGGCTAAAAATGTCAGGCACTGCAAATAGTTTAAACCAACTCAGCTTCTGCTTCTATACGTACTTCTAATTAAAAAAACAACAACACTTTGATGTAGCACTTGAAGGATTTGATGAGCAGCTGGGAGATGGTGAATGTGACCTTAGGCACAAAAGCAAGCTGGGTGGTGCTGGGCCATTTTCCCTCTCTCAGTCCCAGGGAAAACATCCCAACAAGCCAGTTTGAACATTTTGTCAAGAAAACTGATTATAAATAGATAGATCAATAGATAAATAAGATACCTGTTTGGACTTGTTCTTAGCATAAAAATGAGTTGGGTGCAAAAATGGTCAAACTGCCATCCTTGCAGCTTGCCAGAAAGAGTGTCTTCTCTGAAGCAGTCTGATATTATGGCAGAAAGAAACGGGCACAAATATATGCCGAAAACATGAATAAAGAAAGGGTGATGCCTGTGGCTTCAACGGTGGGAGCTCTGGTTCCCTGGCAGAGATAAATATATTTTGTTTGGTTTTTAAATATTTATTGATTGCTGAGGATGTCAGGCAATTTCCACTGAAAAATACATTCTGCTTCAATTTCAGAGCAATTGAAAGGAGAAAATGGTAAGTCTTACAAAATCCCTTTTATCAAGCCCTTTAAACATTGGAAAGAAACTCAAGTTCTGCATTCCCTGTGCACTCCTGTTTTCTTTCTTCTTTGTTTTTTAAGAGCCAGTTTGATGTAGCTCTTATAGCATTGGATGAGCAATTGGGAGACTTTGAGATCTGGTTTGACAGAGGCTGGATGGTACCTGGATGGTACTGGACCATTGGTCATCTCTCAGCCCTGGCTGACTTCCTTCTTTCGCTCTTAGTCATATTAAAAGATGCCTCCATGCCAGCAACTAACTAACTTTCTTTCTTTCTTTCTTTCTTTCTTTCTTTCTTTCTTTCTTTCTTTCTTTCTTTCTTTCTTTCTTTCTTTCTTTCTCTTTGTAAATAGAAAGGGAGTGTTTCTTTCCAACATGAAACTGAAGGAACAGGAGAAGGTAGCCTTTTCTGTTGAGCAAATGAACAAGAGTGGATTGAGACCTTTATTAGTTTTCTGCTCACCTGTTGGTCAGAAAAAACAGGTGCACATTGGTGCTTAGTTCTCTAAGTGCACTAGACTTGCAAATAATAAACACTCCCATGAGGGTAAAGTCCACGCATCCTGACACATCTAGTACTCAACAACACAGAACCGAACAGCCAACCCCAACTTCATTTTAAATGTAAAATCAGGTGTTTGGCTCAATGGGAAGGTTCTTTGGCTGGAAATGCCCCAACTTGCCTATTCTAGGACTGGTCTCAATGTTCAAACATTAATTGATTTTGTCTCCACTGCTTCAATTTCAGAAAAGCTGAAAGGAGAAAATGGTGAGTCTGAAATAGATCTACTGTGCTTTCTTTTTACATATTCACTAATGTCTAAAAATGTCAGGCGCTGCAAACAGTTTAAACCAACTCAGCTCCTGCTTCCATACATACTTCTAATTAAAAAAAAAAAAACAGTTTGATGTAGCTCTTATAGCATTGGACGAGCAATTGGGGGACTTTGAGGTCTGGTTTGACAGAGGCACAAAAGCCACCTTGGTGGTACTGGGCCATTGGTCATCTATCAGCCCTAGCTGACTTCCTTCTTTCCCACTTTGTCGTATTAAAAGAGGTCCCAGTTGTAATGAAAGTGAGGGCTTGGAACACTGATGGGTGTTCATTTATCAAGTGCCATGCCACCTGAGTACGGAATTGGCAGGAAGAATTATGCTAGTTAATCTCCATAACGATTCTCTGTCTTGGAATTTCTCCTGTATGTGTGTGGACTGGTGATATCTTCATTCATTCCCTTACTACTCTCGTTCCCGGCAGGAGAGCAGATCCAGCTGCACATTGAGTTGAGTCTTCCTGGTGGTCACATAACAGTGTGGTTCGCGTTCGGCTTCATGCTCGCTTCTTCCTTTCCCTATCTCCACCTTTCTTTCAAATGAAAAGCTACCTTATCAGGAGCTAATTCTGCAGTTGCATTGAATTGTTCTGCAGTTTACCATTGCAAAGGTGTGTGATCAAAGGAGGAGACATTTGATTTGACCACCTGATGTTCTGCTTAGTCTGCCATGATGGCTGCTGTCAGGACTGGGTTATTGACTCCAAATGTGTAAAGAGAGAGGATCTTGGCAGTGACCAGTAGGAGAAGTTCTCAAATGCCAGCAACTTTTTTTTCTTTTTAACTTGTAAATAGAAATGGAGGTTTTCTTTCCAGCATGAAACCAAACGAACAAGATAAGGTAGCCTTCTCTGCTGAGCAAAT